CCGGCCCACGGCCGGCATCCCGCAGCCCAGTTGCTAGCTTGAAATACTGCCAGGGCTGAAGCCCTCCTGGGCCTGGGAGCCAGGCTCCCGTTCATCCCCACCAAACACCATCAGCACCGAGCGACGCTCCCCCCTTCCCCGACATGAACAGCTGCCCCCCAACCCCCCACGTCTCCCTACTGCAGAGCAGCAGCTCTCAGAGCATCAGACTTGCTGCACCCAACCAAAAACAGCACCCCACAAGCGCCGGCCCTCTCTTCCCCTCCCCGCGCAGGCCTCGGCAGCTGCTGAGACAAGGCCGTGGCTGCTCCCTCCCTCGCCCCCTGCGTGGTCAGCCACACGTTTAGGGCTAAGAAACTCACAAACCCCGGCTCCCGCATGGCACAGGAAGGGTGATCCACGCTGTGCTCCGTTCAGGCTGCTCTCCTGCCTCTGGCCTTCACGGGAAGGTGCAAGAAACCGCCTGCAGGGGAATTATAAAATCCACTGCCCCCAAAAGTGACGGTGGTCAGGAAGAAAGTCAGCGGTCGGCATGTGCCCTGAAGCAGAGAAGTTTTTGGTCTCTCCTGTTTCTGTAACTTGCCTTCCCGTTGCTGAGGCTGTTCTCATCGACTCCGTAAGGGTCCAATTCGTTGACCGCTAACGTGGCCTGGAATAAGAACCTTGTGGCAGAGTGTTCCGCAGGCCAATTATACAACCAGGAGAATTTTCTTGCATCAGTTTTAAATGTGTTGCCTTTTGGTTTTATTAAATCCCCCCCCCTTTGCCTTGTATTGTGAGAATAAAGAGGAATAGTTGCTCTACCTCCTCGTCGTTCATCTTCCTACAGCCCCACAACCCAACTCCTCTGATGCGTATGCTCTGTGGATGGAAAGTCCTGCTCTTGCCTTTCTCTCTCCATTTTTCTAGGCTTCTGGAAATTTATATTGTGCGCACCCCTGCCCCAATTCCTACAGCATCCTTCTGTCATTTGCACACTCTGCCACCTCCTGGCTCATCCTTTTTTCCAAATGACCATGGTTTTGCATAAGAGCCCCAGGCACAAACCAGGGCTCCACTGTACCAGGTGCTGTATAAACAGAGTCCTCATCCAAAAGCTCCTATGACCTCTGTGCTAGAGGGGACCCCAACCAGTGTCCCCTGAAAGCCAAGCATTTGGGTGGCTGTCCAGGAAAGATTCAGGTGCCACCCAGTTGATTTGCAGAGTGCCCACAGCCAGCAGCAGGTGTTGGGTGGTGCACATCTGCACATGCCTTGGTGCACATAAAATGTATTCCACACATTGATGGAAAAAGTGAGGGGGATCCCTAATTCCAACCCCCTTCCCCCATTGCCCTATGCCACTCTAACAATTAAGCATTCATCCCTACTCTCATGTCTATCATTAGCCACTTTCTAGTGTAGGGCTGGGCTCCGCCTCAGTTCTAGGGCTATTTCGCTTCCTCAGCCAGCTCGTTTGAAGGACTTTGCCAAAGGCCCTTTGCAACCCAAAGCAGCAGTTCCATCCCATGCTCACGTAGCCATTATTGTGTGGCCGTACTATAAAGAAACCCTGTAGCACATTTGTCTCTCTCTGCCCAGGATGGTGGATTTGCTTTGATGACTCTTTAGAGCGGCCCGCCAAATGCTTTATTTGCCTGCGCCTCCTCAGGGATGGATGCTCACAGCTCCCATTGGCTGTGGTTAGCAGCTCCCGGCCAATGGCAGCTGTGGGAAGGGGTGGCCCAGCCCGTGCCACTTCTCACAGCTCCTATTGGCCGGGAACAGTGAACTGCAGCCAATGGGCGCTGGCTGCATGCGGCTGTACCTGCAGCCGTGCAGGTAAATAAAGCATCTGGCAGCCCAACAGGGGCTAACCCTGGCAAACTGCATCAGGCTCGCTTATTGCCCACCCCCGATTCAGACTAACATTTCATTCCCCAAATCCAGCCCCAGGGCAGCACCCTGTCTAAACAGCCAGCAGCATTTCAATCCCATTCCTACTAATAGCCATTGATGGACCAACATCCATGAAACTATCTAGCTCTTTTTTAAACCCTGTTAAAGTCCTAGTCTTCACTGCATCCTCTGGCAAGGAGTTCCACAGGTTGACTGTGCGCTGAGTGAAGAAAAACTTCCTTTTGTTTGTTTTAAACCTGCTGCCTATTCATTTCATTTGGTGACCCTAGTTCTTATATTGTGGGAGTAAGTAAATAACTTCCTTATTCATTTTTTCCACACCAGTCATGATTTGATAGATCTCTATTCTATCCCCCTAGTCTCCTATTTTCTAAGCTGAAAAGTCCAAGTCTTTTAACCTCTCTTCATATGGGACCCGGGTGACCCTAATCATTTCTGTTGCTCTTTTCTGAACCTTTTCCAATGCTAATATATCTTTTTTGAGATGAGGCGACCACATCTGTATGCAGTACTCAAGATGTGGGCATACCATGGTTTTATACAGAGGCGATAAGATATGTTCTGTCTTATTTCTCTATCCCCTTTTTAAGGACTCCTAACATTGTTTGCTTTTTTGACTGCTGGTGCCCACTGCGTGGATGGTTTCAGAGAGCTATCCACAACGACGCCAAGGTCTCCCTCTTGAATAGCTGTAGCTAAATTAGTCCCCATCATACTGTAGGTAGAGTTGGGATTATTTTTTCCAATGTGTATTATTTTTACATTGATCAACATTAAATTTCATTTGCCATTTAGTTGCCCAATCGCTTAGTTTGGTGAGAGGCTGCTAAAGTAGCCCACCGCTAGGACCTGAAGCCTGCTACCCCTGCTTTTCTGCGCTTTGTTCTTGAGGGGGACAGTTATCAACTCGAAACAAACACCCAGACCGGCTCATGTCACACATTCGTGTATTTAAATATACAAAAGCTCTGTCAACGAGGGTCTAACATAAAAATCAGCTGAGGAGGAAAGACACGGGAGGGGAGGGGGGCTTAGAGAGCCCTCAGCCCCTCCCGTTTTCAAGTAACAAGGATTTGAGGCCAGGCTGCCGAGGGTCTGACCCTGAGGGGCAGTCTGGGAAGATGGCGGTGGCTACAGAAGTCCATGTGGGGCAGGGAGGGGACCGGCTCCCAGCGCCGTGTTGTCCTCAGGAAAGGGGGGGGCACGTGGATTTTTGGCACCAGCGGTCTTTGGTTCCGTGCAGCTGACAAAGGGGAAGTTCTCACCGCACCGCACCTCTGGATAAGGCTGGGATGGTTAGAGGAGGTCACCAGGAGTCACTGAGGGAGCCGCTGGGCTCACGGCGCAGGCTCCGTTCAGAGGTGGATCGTCTGACCCAAGGCACAGATCTCTGGAGAGGCGACGGCTCCCACAACCGCTCGGCTCAACGCGCCAGTTGTTCCGGCCACCATCGTGCCTGGCTGGGCCCCTGACAACAGAGGGGCCGGAAAGAGTCACCCAGAATCCACAAGGCATCCGCCAACGACTCCCCTGGTAAGTGCCCCCCGAACCAGGCAGAGTGGACGGGACACGCCTGTGACCCTCCCGGGCACGGCCCAGTCTGCCGCTCCCTGCAAGCGGGGCCAGGCAACCAGGAAACGGCGGGCAGCAGAGACACCGGAGCGAAAGAAGAGCCGTCGCCCGACGGGACCAGCGGGGGGGATGCCGGAGCCATGCTGGGGAGCCCAGCAAGAGGAGGGGTTGGGGGAGCTGGAGCAGATCGTGGGAGGGCCTGGGGGGGTCTGGTCCCTGGCGACAGGTGAAGTCGCACAGAAGAGCTCCAGGGTCTGAAGTGCTGCTAACCCAGCCCCGGGGAGTCCTGCTGGGGCCAGCCAAACAGCAGGAGGAGGGGGGGGCGAGACAGACGCCCTGCGCAGGGAGCGCAGCAGGCCTGGCGCGGTG